GCTTTCTTATTATATGTTGAAAATGTACTCAAAACTATGCAGTTTTGTGTTAATTCAATATTTGAAAAATTTATATCAGTCAGTGAACGTAACTGTGATATTATATGTACATGTACTTTCCTTTCTAGAGGTGACTTTGCTATTAATAGTATTTAATGGTCAGATGATGATGTTAATGAGGTCGATCGACGACAAAATATTAATTAACTCCATTGTATTATATTTCATGAAGTAAATAAATAAATTACATGCATATATACATGCATGCATGGATGCATGAGTGAGCCTGGACAATAATCCAAGCAAATGTCACCCGATGTATGGCAATTTATTTCATACTTGATTCAGTTTTCTTTGTTATTCATAGTGTTGTATCTCTCTTATTCCCCAGCTCGTTGTGTATTCAAGTGCTTTATATCGAAGTTTCAGGGATATATCTAGATATCGCCCCCATTTGAGGGCAATATCTATATATTGCCCTTGAATACTAATGTATATTGCCCTTGAATACCTAATTAACTACTACGTTCAACTTAGAAATTTTCCGTCTGAAACTTTAAACTTGAAAGAAAGAAAGAAAAATTCAAATGACACCAAGTAGATTCGAACCCACAACCTTAGCTTTGAAACTCCTATACTTAACACGTTATGCTAACTGACTAATCGATGTCAGTTATGGAATAAAACAGTTATTTAACATTGTCCAGTGACTTGTTACAAAAGGTGTATAGTTAGCATTGGTCTCATGGGACTAACGAGAAAATTGGTTATGCAAATTAATCCCGTTGGGAATTTTCAATACTGTAAATTTCGTAATCTCCTACGGCCCTCGGGATGTATTAGGCTGATTGCCTCCGTTCTCGGTATGTAACTCTTACAAGTTCCATATGCTATTACGATCTATTGCACTCTAATTAATACACTTTGTTTCACGGGTTTATGAAAACCACTCTAATGTAACTTGTTTAGATAAAATGATTCAAATTTCTGAGTACTTAAAATCCCTTTCAGAGTAAGATTCGATGATTCACCTTTTAGCGACCCGGCAACGTTTTTGTGGTTACTACGTTACGGAGTAATCCACTATGTCGTCGCGATGTAAGCACGCAAGAAATCTGTAACATCCGACTTATACGTGTCTCTTTTCCGAAATTGGTCCGAACATTTCACGATCGATATCGCAGCGGAAAGTCCGAATGTCTCATAGGATACGCCTTGTCGAGTTTTGGAGTAACCACATACGCTCTAAAAGCGACTTCAAATTCAATAGTCTCCTTCACGGTTATCTGCGCCATCTTGAAAGGTAGCCGTGCCTTTGCATCGAAGCAAGACAACCGTTGAGCGCGTGCTATGATAGAAACCTTCTTTCACACCTACAGACAATTATTCACAGGTTTCTATCATTGCACGCTCACCGGTTGACTCGCTTCGATGTAAAGGCACAGCTACCTTTCAAGATGGCGCAGGTAACCGTGAAGAAGATTATTAATTGTACAAATGACAGCACTATATACTAGTATTAGCATTCAATCAATGCATCTTAAGGTCATTACCTTGCAACCATCACAAGACCAAATGTTACGGCGTCCGTCCCAGTAATAACAACCGGCCACGTAAAGGTCAAATGTGTAGTTAAAGAAAGAAGATGTGTCATTCAGAACAGAACTGACACCAATGTAATAATCTCCACTAACGTTCACGTACTCACTCGGGACTTGGAAGGTAAATGGTCCAGGACTTGTGATATTTCCCGTTTGGTTGACTTCGAAACGCGGTAGTGACGTCATAAGATCATAATTATCCCGTGTGGGGCGGCCAGAGTATTTGAAGTAAACATTCAAAGCCGTCGACCTGTTTTGTGGAATGACATCCACGAAGATACTCGTGTTTACGCGAATATTGAAAATCTTATGTACAGTGATGTTACTCGAGCCCCTCGTGACGTTGACAGCGTTCTCCTGTCGTAGGATAAGAAAACAAATGTGTGAGGCAGGCACATATAGCCGATATTTTATTCATCAGTAGTTGATGTAG